GGAGATTATGCTAAATGAAATAAGTCAAGCAGAGAAAGTGAATTATCATATGGTTTCACTTATTTGTGGAACATAAGGAATAGCATGGAGGACATTAGGAGAAGGAACGGAAAACTGAAGGGGGCAAATTACAGGGGGAGATGAACCATAAGAGACTATGGACTCCGAGAAACAAACTGAGGGTTTTAGAGGGGAGGGAGGTGGGGGGATGGGTTAGCCTGATGATGGGTATTAAGGAGGGCATGAACTGCATGGAGCACTGGGTGTTATATAAAAACAATGGATCGTGGATCACTACATCAACAACTAATGATGTATTGTATAATAGATTAACATAATAAATTTATTTTAACATAATAAAATTAAGTTAAAAAAAAAAAAAAAGAAAAGCTCACTCACCACAATAAAATGGGATTTATTCCAGGAAGGAAGGATGGTTCAATATTCACAAATTCATCAATGTGAAACATCACATTAACAGGAGGGAGGATAAAAACATTAAGGTCATCTCACTATATACAGAAAAAGCATCTGACAAAAGACAACATCTGTTCATGATACAAACTCTCAACAAAGTGGTTGGAGAGGAAACATTTCTCAACATAATAGCCATATATGACAAACCCACAGCCAAGATCATACTCAATGCTGAAAAACTAAGAACTTTTCTATTTTTTTTTTAAGATTGTATTTATTTATTCATCAGCAGGGGGAGTGGCAGGAAGAGGGAGAAAGAGAAGCAGGCCCCCTGCTCAGCAGGGAACCCGATGCAGGGCCCAAACCCAGGATCCCGGGATCATGACCTAAGCCGAAGGCAGATGCTCAACCAACTGAGCCACCCAGGCACCCCCTAAGAGCCTTTCCTCTAGATCAGAAACAAAACAAAGATGTCCACTCTCACCACTTTAATTCAACATAGTACCCAAAGTCCTAGCCACAGCAATCAGGTAAGAAAAATAAAAGGCATCTAAATCAGTAAGGAAGAAGTAAAATTGTCACTATTTGCAGATGCCATGATACTATATATAAAAAACCCTAAAGACTCCACCAAAAAACTATCAGCAGTAATAAATGAAGTTAGTAAAGTTGCAGGATACAAAATTAATATACAGTAATCAATTGCATTTCTATACACCAATACTGAAGTAGCAGAAAGAGAAATTAAAAAAACAATTTCACCTATAATTGCACCAAAAAGAATAAAATACCTAGAAGTAAATTTAACCAAGGAGGTAAAAAACCTGTATTCTGGGGCGCCTGGGTAGCTCAGTTGGTTAAGCGACTGCCTTCGGCTCAGGTCATGATCCTGGAGTCCCAGGATCGAGTCCTGCATCGGGCTCCCTGCTCGGCAGGGAGTCCGCTTCTCCCTCTGACCCTCCCGACCCTCCCCCCTCTCATGTGCTCTCTCTCTCAAATAAATAAATAAAATCTTAAAAAAAAAAAAAAACAACCTGTACTCTGAAAATCATAAGATGACAGTGAAAGAAACCGAAGATGATACAAACAAATGGAAAAATACTCCAGGCTCATGGATTGGAAAAATCAATATTGATAAAATGTTTATACTCTCCAAAGCAATCTACAGACTCAATGCAATCCTTATCAAAATACCAACAGTATTTTTCACAAAACTAGAACAAATAATCCTAAAATTTGAATGGAACCACAAAAAAAACCAAATAGCTGAAGTAATCTTGAGAAACAAGAACAAAGCTAGAGGTATCATAATCCCAGGTTTCAAGAATAACTACAAAGCTACAGCAATAAAAACAACATGGTACCAGACACATAGATCAATGGAACATAATACAGAGCCCAGAAATAAATCCACAATTACACAGTCAACTAATCTACAACAAAGGAGGCCAAGAATATACAATGGGGAAAAGACCATCTCTTCAATAAATGGCACTGAAAAACTGGACAGCTACATGCAAAAGGATTTAACTAGAACACTTTCTTACACCATACACAAAAATAAACTCAAAATGGATTAAAGAACTGAATGTGAGACCTGAAATCATAAAGCTCCTAAAAGAAAACACAGGCAGTAATCTCTTCAACATGGGCCTTAGCAACATCTTTACGGATATTATCTCCTCAGGCAAAACAAAACAAAACAAAAACCCAAAAGCAAAAATAAACTACTGGAACTATACCAAAATAAAAAGCTTTTGCACAGCAAAGGAAACATCAACAAAACAAAAAAGCAACCTACTGAATGGATGAGGTTATCTGCAAATGATATCCAATAAGGGGTTAATAACCAAAATATATAAAGACCTTATATAACTCAACACTAAAAACACAAATAATTTTATTTGAATCTGAACAGGATCTGAATAGACATTTTCCAAAGCAGATGTACAGATGGTCAACAGACACATGAAAAGATGCTAAACATCACTCATCATCAGAGAAATGCAAATCAAAACCACAATGAGATATCACCTCATACAAGTCAAAATGGCTGGCATCGAAAAGAAAAAGAAATAAGTTTTGGAGAGGATGTGAAGAAAAGGGATCTCTCATGTACTGTTAGTGCAAATGTAAATTGGTGCAACTACTGTGGAAAAGGGGGGTTTTTTTCTCTTTTTTTTTTTTTTTTTTTTGAGGAACCTCAAAAAATGAAAAATAGAAATATCATATGATCCAGTAATTCCACTACTGGGTATTTACCCAGAGAAAATGAAAACACTAATTCAAAAAAATATATGCACCCCTATGTTTACTGCAGCCTTATTTACAGTAGCCAAGATAAGGAAACAATCTAAGTGTCCACAGATAGATGAATGGATAAAGAAGATACTTATAGGGGCGCCTGGGTGGCTCAGTCGGTTAAGCGTCTGCCTTCGGCTCAGGTCATGATCCCAGGGTCCTGGGATCGAGCCCCGCGTCAGGCTCCCTGCTCAGTGGAGAGTCTGCTTCTCCCTCTCCCTCTGCCTGCCTCTCTGCCTACTTGTGCTCTCTATCTCTGTCAAATAAATAAATAAAAATCTTTAAAAAAAAAAAAAAAAGAAGATACTTATACAGATATATATACAGTAGAATATTATTCAGCCATAAAAAAGAATGAGATCTTGCCATTTTCAACAACATGGATGGAATAGAGAGTATTTTGCTAAGTGATATCAGTCAGACACAAGACAAATACCATATGATGTCACTTATGTGTGAAATCTAAACAACAACAACAACAAAAAGAGACAGATTCATAAATACAGAGAATAATCTGGTGGTTGCCAGAAGGGAGAAGGGTTGAAGGGCTGGGAGAAATAGGTAAAGAAGATTAAGAGATACAAACTTCCAGTTATAAAATAAGTAAGTCATGGAAATTAAAAGTACAACATAGGGAATATGTATGGTGAGGGATGATAATACACTTATCAAGATAAACACTGAGTAATATATAGAATTGTCAAATCAATATGTTGTACACCTGAAACTAATATAGCATGTATGTCAACCATACTTCAATTAAAAACAAAAAAGAGGGGCACCTGAGTGGCTCAGTTGGTTAAACAACTGCCTTTGGCTGAGGTCATGATCCCAGGGTCCTGGGATCGAGCCCCGCATCAGGCTCCCTGCTCGGCAGGAAGCCTGCTTCTCCCTTTCCCACTCCCCCTGCTTGTGTTCCCTCTCTCGCTGTCTCTCTCTCTGTCAAATAAATAAAATCTTTAAAAAACAGAGAGAGAGAGGTCCAAACTTCCAGAAAAAAAATGATGTTCTACATCTTTAATCAAAGAAAATGTAAATTAAAACCACAATGAAGTATTACACCGAAAAGAACGACTAAAACTAAAAAAAACAAAAAACAAAAAACAAAAACTAAAAATACCAAGTATTAATGAAAAAATGGAGCAACTGAAAGTCTTAAATACTGCTCGTGGGTGTATAAATTCATAACAACCATTGTGGAAAATCAGGTCAGACACAAAAGAATACGAGTGTATTATTTTATCCCATAGAATTCAGAAAGAAAAAAAATACTAATTTTTATGTTAGGAGTCAAGGTAAGTAACTTTGGAAACTCTTGGTAACCAGAAAGAGGACATGAAGAGACTATTCCATTTCTTGATCCGGCTAATGATTACAGAAAAGTACTCATTTGTGAAAATTCAATGAGCTGTGCATTGGAAATGGGCACTTTTCTTCAATAGTTATACTTCAATTTAAAAATTTATTTTAAAAAATAATAAGAGCAAAACAGTAATTTCTAGATATACAAAAATTAAGAATTCATACCAACACACCTTTACTATATGAACACTAAAGGATGTACTTCAGAAAGAAGTAAAACATTCCCAGACAGCAGTGTAAAGGGATGGAAGATGAGGCCAAGGAGGTAGGTTATAGCCAAATTAGGAAGGTACAGCATGCCAAGCTAAGAAATCAGAGCTCCTCAGCAATCTCGGAAGTTTTTAAGCAACAGAGTGATTTGATTAAACCTGTTCATATCATTCTGTCTGGACTTCACTTCATTTGTTTGCTACTTAAGATTCTTTTAAGACACAATTCAAGGATTATTTTTAGTAATCCTCACTCCACTCTATGATCTATCCCTCCTCTGCATTTCTACAGCACCTCTTGGAAGAAGACAGGGTGTTTAGAGTATAGGTTTCAACTGGCCAGCTAATGGCAGACTAGCCAACTGCAGTTAGCAAATTAACTCAAATACGCTAGTGTCCACTATTTATACTATTTTTTATAAATAGCAATCTGGGGGGTGGAGCTGTATGAAGTTAAAAAATAATAAACTAGACAGCAGATGAAGGAAATAGCTGGTGGGAAGAGTAAATCCAAGTTCAATTTTGCCAATTTCTCTTTTGCTGGCATGGCTCCAGAAAGAAAGTCATATGACAGGTACATAACATAGGTGTAGGAGTAAAAAATTAGTTTTCTGGACTGTTAGAATGATGACAGTTTAAATTTCATAAACACAATCAATCATTTAAAAGTTTACATTAACGAAAAACCAAAACATTTGCTTTTGTGAATACCTGGAAGGTTTCCATTGTAGTCCACATCTTCTATTCCACAACCCCATTTAATGAGAAGCTGCAAACAGCCAAGTCGCCCATGAAAAGCTGCATAGTGCACAGGCTTCCATTCTCTCTTATCAGTCACACCGGGATCCTAGAGGTAACATTCACAAGAACTCAGTTTCTTTCCATTTGTAGGAGAAACAGTAAGTCTAGCAGCTTAATTCTGCAAATAAAAATTGGAGGCTGCTCTTAAAAATACAAGGCAAACAATAAATGTAGTAGAAAAATTTACTACTACCACTGATTTAAACATATGAGCTAATAAGGCACTAATAAAATTTTATAAAATAGTCTTTTTAAAAAAAAGAATGTAACTTGATCCATAAAAATAGTTTTTAAAAAGGAACTTAACTAGGGGTGCCTGGGTGGGTGCATCGGTTGAGTGCCTGACTCTTGGTTTCAGCTCAGGTCGTGGTCTCAGGTCACGGGATCTGGCCAAGTTGGGCTCCACACTCAACACAGAGTCTGCTTGGGGTTCTCTCTCCCTCTCCACCATGCCCCGCCCCACCCTCTCTCAAATTAATAAATAAGTCATGGGGTGCCTGGGTGGCACAGTCCATTGAGCATTTGACTCTTGGTTTCAGCTGAGGTCGTGAGCTCATGGTTGTGGGATCAAGGCGCAGGCGCGGCTGCGTGACCAGCAAAGAGTCTGCTTGGGATTCCCATTGCCTCTCCCTCTGCCCCTCCCACTCATGCTCTCTCTCTCGCGCTAACAAAAATAAATAAATCTTTTAAAATAAATAAATAGGGGCGCCTGGGTGGCTCAGTTGGTTAAGCGACTGCCTTCGGCTCAGGTCATGATCCTGGAGTCCCTGGATCGAGTCCCGCATCAGGCTCCCTGCTCAGCCGGGAGTCTGCTTCTCCCTCTGACCCTCCCGACTCTCATGTGCTCTCTCTCATTCTCTCTCTCTCAAATAAATAAATAAATAAATAAATAAATAAATAAATAAATAAATCTTTAAAATAAATAAATAAATCTTCACACACACACAAAAAAAGGGAACTTAACTAATCATTTTACTGGTCACAGGCTTCTGACCAATAAAATGAAAGGGATGGATTCAAATGATCCAATCATATCCCTGAAAGCATAAAGAGTTAATAAAAAAAATACCTAATAGGCCCTTCATTATTTCTCTAACTACAGAAACACCAACTCTTACCATAATGTCTTCAATAAAGGTAGTTCTTTTCTTATAAGTTACTTTTTTACAACCACTGCGTAATATTGAAAATAAATATCACAATGAATGGAATTTCTGGAGATAAAAATCACTTTCTAAAAAAAAAAAAAGAAGATGGCAGGAGGGGAAGAATGAAGCGGGGGAAATCGGAGGGGTAGACGAACCATGAGAGACAATGGACTCTGAAAAACAAACTGAGGGTTCTAGAGGGGAGGGGGGTGGGAGGATGGGTTAGCCTGGTGATGGGTATTAAGGAGGGCACGTTCTGCATGGAGCACTGGGTGTTATGCACAAACAATGAATCATGGAACACTACATCTAAAACTAATGACGTAATGTATGGGGATTAACAACAATTTAAAAAATTTTTAAAAATAAAAAAAATTAAAAAAAAATCACTTTCTAAATTAGTGTATGAAATAAGTTACAAAACAAATAGGTAAACACACAGAAATTCAGAAAGATTTACAATCACTGGTTGAGATGTGTTTGGAAGCTTCAGAATCTTCCCAGTTAAACTCTGAACTGACATGAAGAACCCACAGCCTCTGAAATACTTTGTACTGTTAAACTGGGGTTTTTTTGAAGCTTTATCTAAATTATTGCTCCTATGTTTTAAGACAGAAAAGCTAAACAGAGAGATCAAATTACTTCCCCCAAGTCATAAAAGGGATTTAAAAAGTCAGGGAGAGGTAACTAGGCTACCAAATGCTATTCCATCTATATGATTACACATTCTCACATATTAACAGGAATCTCTCACCACTCCACTTCGGAGCATTATTTGTAAAGTGAAAGAATGTCCATGTGTTGCAGCAAGGTGTAAAGGAGTGCATCCACGATCATCTTGAGCTGCCAGATTTGCCCCGTTGATTATGAGAGCCTAAAAATAGAGAAATAACAGTGAGTGTACATAAATATGTTAAATCATAAATGCAGATATGTAATAGGCAAGCAATTTATCAACCTATAGCTACATTATATAAGTTCTTATACATGTGCCACAAACAAAGTATGAGAAATTCTTAGCTAATCCTAAGAAAATGCTTGAGATCCTTTTTAACCTTGCCTAGGAGGTATTTATAATACTGATTTCACTCATGTACATACAATTTATAAGGCACACTTTTCAGAAACAGAGATTAATAATCACTAAGTTAAATACTTTAATGCTAAGCTAATAAACTGAAAAGTAAACTCACTATTTCAAAAGCAGAGTAATCTGTTTAAAAGAATTATTAGTTAATATTTTTTAGTTTTACTCCCTCAGACCTTCTTTTTTTAACCAGCCTGTATTTACCAGTATCTTAGCAAAAGATCCATCATAACTCATATCAAGAGTTTTAAGAAGTCTTCCTAATTAGCAAAGTAGTCAATAATCATCACAAACCATACCCTGAGTATTTACTGGACTTTAAGAATCACTACAAGGAATATGAAGACATGTCAACTTAGAGAATTAGGACATATGTAGAGACAATGATAATCAATTATATAAAGCAGTCCTTGATAATTCAACAACTACACAGTATAGTACCAAAAAATACCACAACATCTCTGAGAATGAAAAGATCCCTTTGAGGTAGAAAAGGACAATCAGAGCCACGGGAATGGTTTGATCTAATGCTTAGAGGAAGGAAAGCATCACGTAAAGCTTCATTTGACTTGAATGTCCCCTAAAGTTACTATTTTATTTTCTCTTTCACTGCCTACTTCTCAAATTAATACCTCAATGTTTCAACTTCAAACTGACCTGCAAACAAGGTGCCATCCCTACCACTGCATGGAAATACAGCAAACCTCACCCTATAGTGAGCTCTCAAGTCCAATGGCATTCCCTTAGTTTCATCCCATAACTCTGACACTCGGCCTAACACTTCTTCCTTCATTTGTACAGCCCAATGCATCCTGGCTCTCCGATCTCTGACTTCGTCCTCTGAATTCTTTACTCATTTCTCTGCTTCCTACTATCACTACTGGTAACATTCTTCAACATTCAATCTTCAATACTCTATTCTCTTCTCTATACTTTATTACTCCTGAAATCTTTGTCTCAGCACCCTTTTCAACTGCCTGGACCTTCTGCACCAAAATGACCTATAAGCCCCCTAAACAACATGTGCCAAATTGAATTCAACATTTTTGCTCCCCTATCTCCCTTGCCTTTCAGATTTCCTTATCTGTAGTGTCATTATTATCTGCCATTCTGCCTCAAAACTCTAAAATTTTCACTCTACTTTGTCAACTCCTGCTTTGCAAGAGGTCTTCAATCATTTTATTTCTTTCCCACTGTCACCACCTAATTTCTCCCTCTGGGGTTAGTGATGACACCAAAAGTCTCTAACTGCTCTTCTTGCCTTCAAACTGTCTCATCCTAGGTAATCCCAGATATATCTTGTTAGAATAATTTCCTGAAATACTGCTTTCATTACTTCATTCCTCTGTTAACGTTCATGTGCATGTGTATGTATGCATAAGTATGTATGTGTGTTACATGTATGTGTAAGAGTATATATTAGTACACATATAAAAACTCTCTTATACAAATGAATCTTTATTCTACTTCTAAGACATTTTACATACCTGGCTATCCAAACTTAATTCATAACAGTATACAACAAAACATCTACAACTCAGTCAAACTCATATAATAGTTTATCCCCTGAACACACCTAATTTTTCCAATTCAAGTACCTCACATAGAATTACAGCATAGAGATTAATAGAATAAAATCTAGGTTCAAATCCTGGTTTTGTCACTTACTTAGACAAGGTACTTAACTCTCTGAATCTGATTCTTTATCTATAAAAAGGGGAACTCATAAGATTGTTGTATTAAATGAAGTGATGCATGGGAAACTGTAATTCACACATAAAAAATGATAATCATTTTTCATTGCTACTTAACTTTCTGAAATCAACCTGTTCTTTTTGGCTTAGTGAAGTCTTATTGCCTCCATTAATGATTTCTCTATCTCCTTCTAATCATTAGGGCCTTAATCATAGACTATACTTTGTATCATTTTGTAATTCACTGAGTAGAGAGCCTGTTATTCCAAATAGAATCTCAGGCTTCTTAGAGGCAGGAACTGTTTGCTTATACAATTTTGTATTCCTCCAAATTCCAGTCTATTTCAGTATATTGATTATATCTAGTTAATCTAATAAGCTAGATCCTGCACATATTAATGTGAAATTCTGGCCAGGAAATACATTAAATAAGAAATAATAGTTCCATAGTAAGAAGGCATGACAAGCTATTAAGGAGATAATCTGGTCATGTCTGTGATATCCCTTTAAAACAACCCATCAATAGCCAATTACTTCAGAGATAAAAGGATCCCCAGACTTACACAATTTGTTTAAGCTGTATTTGGTACCAAATATCTGAGTCATGGAATTCAATAAATACTTGTTTAAGACAAAGAACTAAATCTATGAGTCAAATTATTAGAATAAAAGCAACAGCCCAACAAAACTATGCTAAAGTTATTAAATGTATTGATTTTTTAAAAGTAGCCAAAGTTGTTATTACCTGCATACAAGCATCCTGACCTCTGATTGCAGCTATGTGAGCTGCTGTCCAACCTCTCAAAGTTACTTGTGCGATATCAGCTCCATGCCAGAGGAGCCAATGAAGACACTAAATTAAGAAAATAACCATGTTAACAAGTGATAAGGCAGATTTTTTTTTAACATCTTTAGATCTTTGAAATTTAGTCTATCATCATGAAATACCACAGCCTGGGAAGCATCATAAGTAAATGAGGGGCTTAAGAAAAACAAAAGCACAAGAACAATGATATGGTAACCCCCACTTGGCCTTATTATTGGGTCAACTGAACAGTGGGAGCTGTGGCAAATTGGGAGATCACATTCATTGTCCATAAGGCGTAATTGCTACTTAATCCCAGCCACTTGTTACTGTAAGTGAAATGCTGATCCCAATCTTATATTTCACCCACACTGTATAAGCCAAACAAAACACATCTATGAGTCAAATTCACTCAATGGCTGCCAATTTGCAGCCTCTGCCACAGATCTTTAAATGGGCCCAAATGCTTCTGTATCAGAGCAAACATTGTTATTCTGATACTCTCTAAAAAAGAAAAAAAGTGGCTTATAAAAAAATGGGGGGAGAGTCAAATGCATCTTCCTTTAATATCTTTTTTAATTAATGTAAATCTCAATAGAATACATTGTGCCACATACAGTGGTACTGTCTTTGTATGTTCAAGTTTGGAGATTCTATCTTCAAGAAGTTTCTTTTTAAAGAATTGGTTGTATCATTGGGATATACTGTCACATCAGTCATAGCCATATCATGTGTTGAAAGGCTTAATATTTAGGTATCATTGGCCTATCACAGAGATCAGTGGCCAATAAAATACAAAGATTAAATAAAAGCTCAACATCACTACTAATCACAGTAAGTCCTCCATTTATCAACAAGTATTTATGGAGAGACTACTACATGCTAACACTGTTCAGTTACAGGAAAATAAAACCACTGCAAACATTCATGTAACAAGTTTTCTATTTCTCCTGGGTAAATATGCAAGCAGGATTACTGGAACATAGGTAAGTATAGCAATGTATAAGAGTTGCAGCTGCTCCATATTCTCGCCAATATTGGTAGTATCATTTTTTGTTTTTATTTTGCCATTCTAATAGGTGTGTATTGGCATCTGATTTTGTTTTTAATTTGCATTTCCTTAATGGCTAATGATGTTGGACATCTTTTCATGTGCTCAATTGCTATCCATATGTCCTCTTGAAGTGTCAAAGTCATTTGCCCATTTTTTAATTGGGTTTTTTGTTTTCTTACTATGGAACTATTAGAGTTTCATATGCTCTGGCTAGAAGTTCCGAGAGATATGATTTGCAAAGATTTTTCTCTTATGTTTTCTTCTAGAAATTTTAGAAGGTTAAGTGTTACATTTGTTTATGATCTGTTTTGAGTACATTTTTACATAAGGTGCCAGATATATCATTTTCTCACTTATGACTGTCCCATTGTGCCAGTACCATTTAATGAAAACACTATCTGTTCTCTATTGGATTTCATTTGCATCTTTGTCAGAAGTCAACTGATCAGGGGCACCTGGGTGGCTCAGGTGGTTAAGCGTCTGCCTTCGGCTCAGGTCATGATCTCAGGGTCCTGGCATCGAGCCCCAAGTCAGGGTCCCTGCTCAGTGGAGAGTCTGTTTCTCTCTTTTTCCCCTCTGCCCCTAACCCCCACTTGTGCACTCTCTCTCTCTCTCCCAAATAAATAAATAAAATCTTTAAAAAAAAAATCAACTGATCAATCAGTAAGACTTCAGAAATGGCTAAGTGAGGAACTTGGCAAATCATTCCCAAGCAATGATGAAACTAGACAAAGTAGGGGCACCTCAGTGGCTCAGTCAGTTAAGCATCTGACTTCAGCTCAGGTCATGCATGATCTCAGGGTCCTGGGATAGAGCCCCGCATCAGGCTCCACCCTCAGCAGGGATTCGGCTTGTCCCTCTCCCTCTGCCCCCTTCCCACTCATGTGTGCATGCGCTCGCTCACTCTCTCTCTCAAATAAATAAATAAAATCTTCCAAAAAAAAAAAAAAACTAGACAAAGTTGTCAAAAACAACCATGTAAAGACTGGGAATTTGTCAGAGGCACATAACAAAATAAGAAGCATTAACTCAAGAAAATGTTCTGAATCTCAGTAAGAACAGGTGGAGTCTGCAGCAGAAAGTCTGAAACTACAACTATCCCTACCCCGAGCTACACTGTGCAGAAGTTCTACCCAGCTGGACAGCTCCATTGCCCTGCTGGAAGGAGTAAAAATTCCATGCCTAGGCACAAAGTCAAAAACAATTCCAACCTCAGGGGCCAAAAACCTAGGAA